TCTCCTAATTAACTAAATTAATTAACACTGATATCTCAATTACTGATCATCACATTTGAATAAAATTTGGTACATAAATGCTCTAGGACAATAGACAGGCCTGATTAATTTGGGGTTAAAATTTGTTCATATTAATTCTCTAATTAGCATAATAATTCATAATTTTTTTGTTCTGTTCTGTTCATATTAGTTACCTGATGTACATAATTAGTTTTCAGCTTTTCTATCAATATCTCATGTACAAGTAATTTTGAATTAATTTTTAATGTGTCTTTAATACTCTCAGCACACGGGAGTTCTTTCTAAGCTTTCTTTGATCATGTTTGTATCATGTTACCTTAGATACTATATTATTAGAAATCTTGCATTGAAGCAATATAATTTACCATTTCTGTATTACCTGCATTAATTCCAAAAACACATATGTATCTGGGATAAACTAAACGTCACCGACATTGACACAATAGAGATTGCAGACGTCACATTTGAACGTTTTCCATGGTTTACATCGAACACAATCTTTTGCATTGAATTAAATGTCATGTATAAACATGTCATGTTCACTACGGGTCACACACAGAATATTAGGATACATAAAAGACATTGTGTGTTTATATACAATTCATATATAATTGACACTTTTAAATCAGATTTTGTTATAAATCTATTGAACTTAACATACGTGATGTGACTCCTGTCAGTACGTTCTGAGGGAAGACGGCAGTGGCTGAGAATGCCAAACCATGCGAGTTAAAACCATAGCACAGTCCAGGTATCATACCTAGGTACGTATATGCAGTGAAATTTTCATTACGCCAAGGCTTATCAGGTTCGCTGATTTCTGCCTCCAGTATGTAAGCATGTTCCTTCATTACTGTGGGGGCATCTTCATTACGTCCAATCAGCACCTAATAAACATGTGTAGAGTAATTATTTATGGTAATGTGTTATTCAAACTATTCTTCAATTAATTAATTCATCATGAGTAAATAATTTTTCTTCATGATGGCTGAATTATTTGAAAAAATTTTAATTAATTTTTAAAGTGAGTTTTATATACATTGAAAAAAAAATGCGTTTCATACAACATTACTAACTTGATACTGGTAAGCATTAACATGTTGAATGTCAAAATGGTTTCCGCCAAAATTTTGGGTCAAAATTTTGCAAATTTTTATGTATTTTTCATCAAGTTTTTAATTTATTTTGGATCAAATGAACATAAAATTAAAGAAAAACATTATGTAGGTTTATTTGTCATAGGAAACAAAGTTGACTTTCAGTTGATCTTCAAAGGGTCAAGGGTCATATTTTAATGTATTATAGATGTCAATGGAGGCCAAAGTGCATGGAAACAATAAAACAGAAAAACGCAGGTAAAATTTATCAGTTAACCCTCTGTAAGAAAACACTAAAATGAACTCATCAAAACATAAAAACATCAAATACATTATTTTATATTTAGTCAATGTATTTAAAGACATAGAAAGAGAGCTCATACTGCAAAACATCCACCTGTTAAGTGAGCTAAAATGTTGTCCCCCATAATCAAAACCTGTTACACCAGTACAGTACATTACATTACTTTGCTTAAATATTATCATTTTGTTCTCTATATTTTCTCATTGTTTGATTTTGAAACTTTGATAGCACCCGGACAAACTTATTTAATGTCACTGTTCTCCAAAGACACTATTCTATGCTATACAACAAACATTTAGAATTATTCCAACAGGAAACATGTGATCACAGCAATCCAATATTATCCATTAATTAACAATTTACCTGCCGTGCCCCAGACTCTTCTTCGTAATTCACTAATATATTCATACAGCCTAGAATTGCAGGACCACCCTGCCCTAGCAACATTAACTCATGGCTTATGTGAAGAAGAAACACCTGTTGATAGAATACAGAAAATAAAGCAACTGAATATTAAAATTCGAGGAATGAATATAATAGTCACTATAAACTTATGTTTTATCAAGAAAAGCATATGGGGTTTTTCAACCAGGCTAATACCACCAATAATACAGCAGCTACACTTTCAACATAATAATAATGATAAATTGCTTTTATAAATTATAGTTTTGAAGTTAGTGTCAGTACAGGTCAGATAAAATAAACCTTATCGTTGATGACTTTAATGCTACCATTTCGCCACAATTTGGATTCAAAATATAGCACATTTTTATGTATTTTTCTATGAATATGTAATGAAGACGGGGTACCTGTTTGAATGGTACATCAGTGGCATCGGACATTCCTTGCATTTCTTGTACATACTGAGGAAACACTGTCTTTGCTGCTTTAAGATAGTCCTCGTAAATCTCAGAACCTTTCTCAGTTTCAGAGAATGGTAAGAGTATTTCTTGTACCAAGGTCAGGTCAGCAAAGAAGTTGGAGATCCTCTCACGAAAAATAACGCCCTGCAAATAAATTATTAAATAATTCTTTGTTTTTATCAATACCTGCTCAGATTGAGACTTGTGTGCATTTGCATTTGGTGCATACTTTCTACACATGTACAATGAAAATGCAATATTGGATTCAATCAAAGATGGATGACTGGCAGCCATTTTTTTAAGCAAAATTTGTAGCAGATACAGGTGTCGGTGAGAAAATTTCACTTATTCTTGTCAGGTCCTAAGAAACCTCAGGTTATTTTGAGAAATTTCATCCACTCCACTCACTCAATTTTAAACCTGACATCATTAGCTGATCAATGAAAACATAAAAACTCTTATTAAAGTTTTACCAAAAATACTTGCTACAATTTCTGAGGAGAGTAACATAAAATATTTAATCCTTTGAGTGTCATAATTTTGTATTTTTCTAAAAAATTTTTGATAATTTTGAAATCAATAATTTCTCTTGGCTACAGTTCTTGATCAACATTTTTGAACAAATATGAAAAAAAAAAAATGTTGTGAAAAGTGATGAAAGTTGACTATGGTTTCAAATGCCTTTATGACTAAGATTCAAACCAGATGGAGAAGCAGAAGAGAACATGATGATAGAACTAGAAGCAGTAACCTAAAAAAAGAAGATGCCAGATGAGATCTTCCCTGCATATACATACAAGTCTGATCAAATCATTGGTTTTATTTCATACATGACATGTTCACATTTGAATCGTCAACTTACAATTTGATATCCCACTTCGTAAAATGTTCCAGTGACGTGGACGACTTTTGGCATAATGAAGGGGCATGATGGGGTTGCCATGGATATACTATCCAGTTCTTCCATATATACTGAACGTGTCTGCAAGAGAGATACACGTCAGAAAGGGTTCATTATATATGATCTAAATATAGGCTTGACATTTAACTTGGCAGTACAAAAGTCAAAGACCACAGTCACAATGTAAATAATATAAATTATTTGGATATTTCATATTGTTATTAATTTTTAACTTTTTTTTAAATTGAATTGAATGTATGCAAACAAAAAAGCCATGTACAAGCTGTTAGATTGCAAAATGTGCTCTCTAATAAAACAGATTCTGTAGAGATATTGAGTCAAAATCCCAAAAACTCAATTTAGGTCAGCTTGCGACTGCTGATTGTATAGAGAACTTCTGAAGACACAAACTGAACTGCTGTGCCACACACCTAATTTTCTCATGAAATGGAAATTTCTTTTGACCAATTCACAAATTCTATACATATATTAGAATGTTTTTCAAGATTATTATATATCAAAGTGTATATTTGGTATGACAGGAAAGAATTGTAACTAGTTCTGTCACAAAAAACTGTGTGTGTGTGTGTGTGTGTGTGTGCGTGTGGGTGGTGCATATCAGCTTAAAGGACACATTGAATGCAAAAATGATCACCCCCGTAAAATCTGTATTAAAAACCGCAACCCTAATAGAGTTACACCTATTCTTTCTGAACAATTGAGAATAAAAATTCATAATTTTTCGTATTTATGAATGCTCTAATAGAAGCTGTATCCCCTCTGTTGTATTGTATCGTTTTACTAGAAACCACAGCTCCTAGCTAATGCAGATTTTACAGAAATAGTTTTGTTTGCCATATTCACACATGAAAAGGTACAGCAACATAAGGTATGCGGCGTCAAGATAAAGATCTATTAAATATTTAAGAGCTGAATCACGGCAACCGCTGACAATATACATGATTACCCCACTCACAGAAAATATTTTAGTTCGGTCTTTGCACTTTTTATTTATAACATAGTTATCATAGGGTGAGGAGAATACTGTGACAATAATAAGGAAGTGATTTTAGGAATAATGAAAATGGATCAGTATCAATACAACAGGATGTAGAAAGAGGACAAGTACAAAGAACAAGAAAGTAGATATAAAGATATATAATAACTAGATACATTGTAACATTTTATCTTCATTATCATTACAATAAATTCGCCTACTTACTTTTTTTTAGTTATTCATTATTAACTTCATTACATTTTAAACACCAAATTAGAAATGTAAAATTTTCTACACGGTTGTAATAAAGCTGTTACCTATCTATCTTATATCATCATCACAACAGTGCTGTATTCATTATTTGTTTGACTTTCATTAATATATATTCAGCAGACATATCATCAGGATTGTCAAACCACGCATCCACAGTCTCATCATTTCAATTCATAACATGGAACTGCCATAGTGTTTACAGTAAGTTTTATGGTTGAATTCATATGGTGGTGTCAATTCTATGTACAGATTGATGTGAATTAAGAGATAAAAGTCACCTTTCAGAGTCAAATTGTAAGAGAGAAGCTTTTGGTGTCTTCAAACATTTCCATCAGTTGTCTCTGTACATGTGAACTTTGCCCTGCCACATGACCATAGGTCATGGGTCATGTGACTAAATGATGTTGTAAATTGGCTACAACCACCACCTTTAATAAATGTGTTGTGAAAACAACAATCGCTTCGATTCTATTTTAGTTTAACAAATTTATTGTAATTATTACACCAATCCTTTCACATATTTTAATCCACAGTTGAGAATCTATGAATGTGTCTTGTTATTTAGATCAAGATATTGTGCATGTGATATTTCAAAAAATAAACACACATTTATGTTACAAGGGACCCTTACAGCATATGTCACGATTACAAGATCCTAATGAAAATAGTATTGTCACAACCATAGTACGTGGTAAAGCATGTGAAAGAAATCAAACAAGGACAAGTGTGGATGATGAAGACTTTATTTAACCCAAACTGCAGTACTTTGCTGTTATTTAAGTTTTTGTGTACTCATTTGTTTGTCCTAATCAAATGTACTAATGAATAATTAATTAAATAATGTAATGCTTAGTGACGTAATTGAAACAAACTCTATTTAAATATCTGTTACCATAGTTACAATGTAAATTGGTACAACATGGCAAAGTCTACGATAGCATAGTCCTAGACTTGTACACTTATCAGCAACACAAGTGTTATGAGATCTTACATTAAATAAAGCACATGGCTAGATACCCTAGATACACCATTTAATTATTGACATACTGCCCTGCTAACATAAACCTCTTGCAGGTGGAGCAAAAAGCTGTGATCTACAATGAGGGCATGTTTGGTCACTGTGTGTGTGCATGGAAGGTACTAAGGGATGGTGTGTGCATGTGTGTGTCTGTGCATGTGTGTTTGTGGTTTCAACGTTATGAATTCATTCATTTAACTTTATACCTACTAGGTGATGACAGACCTACCAAATCACAACTGTCACTATTTTCATAATTTATATTATTATTTAATCAAATTTAATTTGAATTTATATTAATATTAATATAATTGTACAATACCTACCCCCTTTACTAAATCTAAGCTTCACAATTGTGTCTATGTTAAGTCACAGGATACTAGTATTCTAGTTTTATTTAATTAAAACAGAATTTTATGTTGAATAGCATTGTAATAAAATCTAATTAAAACGCAGCCCTATATAGAGTTGTGTTTTAATCCAAACATAATACAACTATATCAAAAGTTAATCCAATGTGTGTTATTACAAAGATGGCATGTACGTGTGTGTGTACAAGTGTCAATTGTGTGTGGTGGGAGAAGATAAACACATGTAGAGTGTTATAAAGTTATAGCACGTACAAGGTGTATAAAAAAAAGAAACGTGTAACAAACCCATTGCTTTAAATTTTTTTTTTAAATATTTATAAATTTCCCAATTCAAACTGAAATGAGAGGTTTCTATTCACCAACATAACATACCAATGGAAGGTCATCAAATAACGTCAATGTCACTGATGAACTGGTTGGATTCAACTACCATTGAATTTTATAAATATTCATAAACGTATATACCTTGTCACATTTCGTTAATAAAAGTACAAGAAATGTTGTTAGGCTTCATAGAAAATCCAGAATCATAAATACAGGGGGTGCAGCAAGAAACTGGAACAGCATAAAATTGTGAATTAACATACGCTTCTATATCACAAGACTTGTAGTTATCCTAATTGTGGGTCTCACTTTAGTAGCTATCGTATTATTAGTATACGAGATATGGCTTTTATACAGGGCAGACAAGTTCCCTTTTGTATATTGTATACATGTAGTGGGTCACTGAACAAAAAGGTTGTGACATTTAGACGTTCTCATTAAGTATCTAAGCAGTTAATCCTTTGACTGTTATTATTACCTGCACAACACTAAAAATAAACAAATAAATAAAATTGAGGTACCGATACGTAACAAAACCTATGCAGATTTAGTTAATATCATTGATATCATCTCACCAGTACTGTAAGTTGTGGATTTAACAGAAAATGAATCAGACTAATCTATTTACACAGCTCAGTGTTAATAAACAACAAAAAACAAATAACATATGAGTTACGCCTAAGAACCAGACATGTTTTTATGAGTGCAACATTGTGCTAGCACTCACAGGACAACTGTAGATCACTTCAAATGTAATAATTTTAATTGTTGAACAGAATACCATTATCAGTGATGTTAGGGAAACTGTTGGCTTTGTTGTTGTTTATGGTTTATGGTATAACACATGTTTTATGAGCACATTTCCGTAATGAAAATAATAACAAGCATCCTGTCGGCTGAGATAGCTTCGCTGTTAGCAATGCACATTTCAATAAAAGAACTGAAGATATCATTAGAAAATGAACAATATGTATAGTATCAAAGCAATCGGACTTGATGTTTTCAACAAGAATTCGAAAATATAACTTTTTACCAAAAATGACAAAAATATTCACTTAAATTAGAGAATTGAAGATATCATCACAAAATGGAGAAGTCTGAGAGAGGTCCACATGTAGTACCTATATGTATAGTATCAAAGCAAGCGGACTTGCGGTTTTCAACAAAAAGTCGAAAGTATAACCTTTTACCAAAAATTACAAAAATATTCACTTAAATTAGAGAATTGAAGATATCATTTATACACTATTTATTGTCATAAATACTACACACAGTCACTGCTGTGATATTCATGGTCACATGCATCCACTTTGGCACGACATAATAGACCTGTAAGTTCGAGAAAATGCGTTTTTACCGGAGCTGTTTACTACAGCGTGACAAGCAAGGAAATAATCCCTATTGTTTAGGGGCGTATTTATAGTATACCTGGGCCTTTAAGGCCTTGCAGTTAACTCTGAGCAGACATTTACAGAATTTATTATGAAATAAGTCCAAGATTTAGCCACTGCCAAGCACGGCAATGCCAGAACACGGGCTTAAATCAGACATGCATGAACCAATTTTATTTAAACAGGTATTTTTTCATGTACATTAAAGCACAGTAATTAAAGGGGGATTTTGGGGCATTTATGGTAAAAAAACAACTTTTCTTTCAAAAACTTCTATAAAGGTGTACCATCTTGCAACTCTGAAACACTTAGATCAATTATCACAAAATTCGCTATAAAAGTCTATTACTAAAACGTACAGATGCACATACGTTAATTTTGTTTTTGAATCTGTCCATTTTAAGTATAGTTTACAGTTCAAAAACAAGCTAAAATGTGTGCCATGTCAGTTTTTTATGAAATTCACTACAGAGGTGTATCACTAAAATACACAGATGCATATCAGTTTTCATTTTAATTTGTGCATGTTAAGTGTGGTTTTACATCAAAAAATGTCATTTTTGCCCTATTTTAAGAACTTAAAATGACATACATGTAATGTGACCCAAAATAGCTTTGTTTCTAAAATTTTCCTGAGATTT